ACTGCTGCTTTTGTGAATGTTGATAGTTGATCCACTCCTAGGGACCTCCGCTCCTAGACTGGAAAGTTAATCACTTCCCTCCTTGCTATAAAATGTCTACCTTTATATTTCTAACCCTCACAGTCAGTCCTGATGACAATTATTCACTTTGTATGACAAGAGACCTATCTGCATTTTATTTCATCAGGCTTGCCTAGACAGATTCAATACTACTCACTGGAGATTCTACTTTCCTCCAGGCCCTCTAAATCTAGGTTCCCTCTTGAAAGCTTGTAAGCCAGTCATTTCTTGCCTTTATAGCTACCCCCATCCCCCCAATTCTGGGTAGTCATTATCCAAGTTGCCCATCCCTGTCCTCTCCATGTGTGGAGGGGGTGGGAATGATTCATGCTGTTAGGATTTGTTCCCTCTTTTGAGCTACTGCATCCATATGTGTAGGTGAAGTTCATCATATTGTATCAGAATGGATACTACTCAGGGGTGATTATACCTTCCTCCACGCCCTCTGGATTTAGATTCCCTCTTGAAAGCTTGTAAGCCAGTCACTTCTTGACTTTTTAGTCCCCCCTTTTGTGTAGCCAATGTCCAACTTGCCCATCCCAGTCTACTCTGTGTATGCAAGTGGTGGGAATGATCTTTGCTATAAGGATTTGTTCCTTCTTTTGAGCTACTGCATTCATAGGTGTAGGTCAAGGTCATCAACTTATATCAGATTACTCTTTTTTTCCTCTTCTTTCTTCTTCCAGATGAGCTCTGATCATCCAATCAATGAAGCCAGGTCAAGTGGGTATTATCTGTAAGTGTGGGTATTCTTGTGCATATGCCCTCTCCTCTTATCAGCTGGATGCTTCACTCTCCCCTCTAGTCCTCTGTGGCTATGTCACTGACTCGGGGCCCGAGAGTCCCCAGATATTGAAACACTGTTGGCCAACCAGGTCTCCACCCGAGTTCACAGGTGTCTATTGAATGTTGTAGGGCTTAGCTCACGGCTTCATTGCTGTTTTCCCTCACTTCCCCTTACCGGTGATAAACATGGTCACCTACCAGAGGGTGTATTCCCACTGAGTCTTAGTTTTGGAAGGGAGTTTGCTCTGAGGGATCCCGACCACTTGCCTTAATGTCTCCTGGGCAAGCAACTTGCTTGTTCTTGTAGTAACAGTTGGTCTGCCTCTATTGTCTTGTATTTTCCTGTAGGTCTTTCTTTCAAGAAGTATCTTTTGTTCTTCTAGCCTTTCCAGGCTGGTGGGCTCCTTCTTTCAAGTGGAAATTTCCCACCTCTGAAGATTCTCGATGTGGTTCAGGATTCCATCTGTAGTCTTATATAATGTAGAGGCTCCACAGAAAGCCTCCTTCACTGGGCACATTGTAGCTCCATTTTAGTTATTCCAATCAGTTATAGGCAGAAGATGGACTTACAAGCTCCCTATGGTTACATTTCTGGCTATTCCTTTCTCTCCCCATCGAGTGTCTATTTTATGATATAATGCAAGGAAAATCAAGATTCAAAAGAGCCAAGCATCTTAACATTATTTACTTCCTTTTCCCCATTCCAACCATGTCTCAATCTCTGTATCCCAGAGCCCTGTTGTTCCAAGGTTGTGCATACATCATTATTTACCTTTGTCCCATCTTTTTGCTATTGTAAATAGTGCTGCTATGAACATTAGTGTGCATATAACTTTTCGTGTTATGCTGGAGGGTTGCAAAGCATTGTGCTGGGCGGGGATACACAGGATGAGACATGGGAAGGTGCTGGGAGACCCCACACACCCCATACACCAGCTGTGGTCTCCCGCCACTCTCCTACTGTAATGGGGCACCTGTGGTGCCAAGATTGTTTTATTTCAGTCTGGATGAAGCACAATGGAGATCAAGGCCAAAGCGACCATCCTGGCCCCATCATTACAAAGGAGGGCTCCCTCTCCAGATTCCCTAACCGCCCCTCAGTCCATGTGTATCCCCGTTTCCTGAAAATAAATCCATGGTTCTTATACTGGTCAGTTTGTATGGGGAGGGGCCTTGAATTGAAATATGAAAAAGCATATCCAATGAAAAAGCAATTGTTTACATAGGCTTGTATCAG